AAAAACACCCCCAAAGCATAATGTTTCCACCTCCATGTTTGACGGTGGGGATGGTGTTCTTGGGGTCATAGGCAGCATTCCTCCTCCTCCAAACACGGCGAGTTGAGTTGATGCCAAAGAGCTCCATTTTGGTCTCATCTGACCACAACACTTTCACCCAGTTGTCCTTTGAATCATTCAGATGTTCATTGGCAAACTTCAGACGGGCATGTATATGTGCTTTCTTGAGCAGGGGGACCTTGCGGGCGCTCCAAGATTTGAGTCCTTAACGGCGTAGTGTGTTACCAATTGTTTTCTTGGTGACTATGGTCCCAGCTGCCTTGAGATCATTGACAATATCCTCCCGTGTAGTTTTGGGCTGATTCCTCACCGTTCTCATGATCATTCCAACTCCACGAGGTGAGATCTTGCGTGGAGCCCCAGGCCGATGGAGATTGACAGTTCTTTTGTGTTTCTTCCATTTGCGAATAATCGCACCCACTGTTGTCACCTTCTCACCAAGGTGCTTGGCAATGGTCTTGTAGCCCATTCCAGCCTTGTGTAGGTCTACAATCTTGTCCCTGACATCCTTGGAGAGCTCTTTGGTCTTGGCCATGGTGGAGAGTTTGGAATCTGATTGATTGATTGCTTCTGTGGACAGGTGTCTTTTATACAGGTAACAAGCTGAGATTAGGAGCACTCCTTTTAAGTGTGTTCCTAATCTCAGCTCGTTACCTGTATAAAAGACACCTGGGAGCCAGAAATCTTTCTGATTGAGAGGGGGTCAAATACTTATTTCCCTCATTAAAATGCAAAACAATTTATAACATTTTTGACATGCCTTTTTTTGGATTTTCTTGTTGTTATTCTGTCTCTCAGTGTTCAAATAAACCTACCATTAAAATTATAGACTGATCATTTCTTTGTCAGTGAGCAAACGTACAAAATCAGCAGGGGATCAAATACTTTTTTCCCTCACTGTAACACCCAACCCGATAACGATTGGCTCCGTGTTCAAAAGGCAGATTTGACTCATGGCCTAGGCTTGGTCGGACGGTTCCTCGATTAATTTCTGGCATTTCTTGGCGGTCGGTGGCATCAAAAGATCGACTCATGTCGCACGTTCGAATGGGAAAGCAGCTGCTGAATCGAAGGCAACTTCTGACAGAGAGTCTATCTCACTCAAGGGCCACAGTGACATCGTCAGACTTTTATGAGGACCGGTGTCTTATGCTGCACCAGTGTACCACCAATACGTCCATTTGACCTCTTCCATTCTGGCCTGATGTTTAATCAAGGGACCCCGCATTTTACTCCACCACACGCGACCTGCCAATCGACTAACTGGTGAGCAAGCAATTTCAGGGCTGCACCTTTGCCTTTTTTAATTACAGTAAATACCATTAAGTAATTTTACACATGGATTTAAAACAAATCCACTTTTTCAAATGCGATAACTAGTATTTTATAGACATTAGCAGACTATGCAGATAAAGTAAAAGAGCTTTTTTGGTACCATTAAGTTATTGCCCAAAGCTGTGACAGCATAGATGAGGTAAGCATTTTTGCTCCAATTAATCAGTTGCATTCGCAAAATAAAAGTGGCCAGCAAGACAGGTAGTCGAAATTTTAATCAATGCTTATATAAGCACAAAGTCTTTGGCACGCCCAGCTTAAAAGCTTTCCTTATTTAGGTCCAGATTGGTGACTGCACCTGGCACACTTAATTTGATACGTCATTGTTCTGCCATCTCAGTCGTTCTATATACAGTATGTGCACGTACCACTGTCGTGAGTAGTCTTGTTGATCCACATTTGAAATGAGAGATTAAAACAAAATAACCTACGCATATCTAATAAACGTATTTTGCGTAGAATGGTCAACCATTCTGTTTTCCTAAATGCGTTTATTTAATGCAAACTTAACAGTACTGCTTTCACTTTTTTCAAATTTTCTTGTTGTGGTTTTCACACCTGATGATGATTGCTTGTGTTGCAGCCGAAACGTCGTGAGAATTTTATTGTTTTATATTTTTATTATTTTATTGTTTCCCTTCTACGTGACTTTACCGAAAGAACCAATAATATAGTACTGCTTACTGTGTGCATTATAAGACACTGTCCCTTGAACGTGAAACGTTTGATCTTGAGGCAGCACTTCGATGTAGATACGTGAGCAATCGTAAAAGTATCCGTCAACTCGAAGAATATCTAACATGTCAGTTAAGCATCATCAGCCATGCTCCATACACTGCTGGATAAAGGCTTCCTCAAGCCTCCACCTTCCCCCACAATCCTGCCACGTGATTTCTGTTAATATTGTGTTACGTCCAAAACTATTCATCCATTAAGCATGCCGTGTTTTTATTTATTTTTCGTGGCAGTTGGTGATGTCACAGCGAATCGTACGAGGCAGAGCACTCGATTTTAGAGTTCGTTACTTGATGAAGCTCAAAGTAGTTCATGCAAAACGTCGTACTTGAAGCTCAAAGCAGTTCATGCAGAACGTCGTCCGTAGATGTTGAATTCAGTCGTGGAAAGTCTTAAGCCACTGTTGAGGAGGAGCTTTATTTGTGAATATACGGATCAGCACATTGGCCACGTGTATCTAATAATATCTAAAATCGTGACAATCTCGTTGTGCGGTGGAGGTTTAATGACAATGATTTTAGCATAAAGCTCCCCACGTGGCCAAACACGAAAAAGAAACGTGAATAATTTTTCAACATACAAATTATAGTTATAAAATGGGTTCCTTTTTTTGATGGTTTCAAACTGCTGCAGTACTGATGTGTATAGTTAACATAGTTATGAAACATGCAGCCATGTGCCCTTCAAAGATCGAGGGCTGCCTACAATTGATACGTGTCTGCTGTTGTCCCTGCTTTGTCTTTTATCTGAGGCTTCAAATTTACCCAGATTCACAAACTACGTCCTAAGCTGATTGGGAATACTTAAAGCCAACCAATCGGAGGAAGCAAACTGAAAACATAGCCCCCTTACTATGCGACAGGCTGTGTTGGAGAAGGGGGAAAAAAATAAAAGAGCGTTTCTGATGGCATTCGCCACTTCTTTCCCCACTACCCCACCATAAGGTGTGGCTGGCAGTCCTAAGATCACATATTCGTTTCAAAGAGTGGTGTAATAAGCCACCTTTGCTTTGTGTGACAGCGCCGTATTTATGCGCACAGGTTGCGATTTACTGAAGTGTGTGCATCTTTACGACACGGCTAGGCTTTGTGCAGCGAGGATCGCGCGGAGGCCCTGCCCCTCCTGGTAATGAGAGCACACTTTGATGCTGGCCGTGGTCCATCTCCCGAGTCCCATCTCCCGAGTCCCCCTCCGGCCAGGAGCAGGTTAACTGCGTGTGTGTAGTTTGCGCTAACAGCGGCCCTTCACCACTCCCTTCCGTCACCGCCATGGTTGTTTAACAGGGCTGAGCACTTGGAATTTCGATACTCAAGGATCACGACGCGTGCGTCGAATCGCGCGTTGGGTGCATAATTGGTGTTATGTGTTTCGTGACCGTCATGTACAGATTACACGCTGGCCTTACGTTTTAATTTTGGCCATTGGAGTGAACAGAAACGATGTACAGATTAAGCGAAATCACGAATTGATGGTGCGTGTGAGAATAACGGAAGCCATTCCTGAATGGAGTCATCGCTCGGTTGGAGGTGGTGGGGGTATTGAACCGTCACGCCCCTGGTCTCTTGGGGAACATCCAAGATAATACTTTATCTGCTTTTGTGGAAATGTGTGTGTGTGTGTGTTCAAGGTACTTTCATTATCAGGACTGTGTTAATGACACTGAAGGAGATTTAGAATTTTGGAAATATACATCATACTCGTACCTCTACCACAAAAGCGTACACGTAACATAAAGGTGTCTTCTTTCCTCCTTTCCGCTCTTGTTGCAATACAATCCGTCCAGATGTCGCTGGCATATTAATAATCGCGTTTTCTCAGCGGGGCAGCCGAATACATTGTGTAACCCTTGTAGGTGCTGGAATTGTTATGTTGTACGTTGCCTAGATGAAAATTAGGTGTCAGCCATCGCTGCTTTCGGTTGTGTTTCACTTGTAAGGCTGTCCCTGGAGTGAGAGAACATGGAAGTGTTTTTTTTTTGTTGTTGCAAATTTTAACGCTTGCTTTTTACAAAAAAACGATGTGCTCTGCGTGGCAATAAGCTTATAATAATGATCTTCGCAAGAAAAAGGTTAGATGTACCGTATTGATTATGGAGCCGTAAAATTAAACACGTAAAATGTTCTGATGTTGAAAAGGTTATCGGCAACAGGCCATGCACACTAGCTGTATGTCATCTCTAACAAAGGGCCCAGTTGCACTCTACGGCCTCTTGTGATGGACAACAGCTTATGGAAGCAATATTCATGTCACTTGAGAGCATATTCACGTCACTGGAGAGTATTTTTATTTGTTTAACCTTGCAATCTGATAAACGAATTCCCATGTTGTGGCTAATTATGGACCGTGGACACTAATAGATATCGTTTCCCCCCCTCTTCTTTCCCGTATCGTTTGGCAATGTAGAAGACAGTGGCTTAATTGTTATTAAAATATCTCTGATAATGAAAATGTTTATGCACCCGAGCATGAGGATTTGCTTGCGACTATGAAAATAAAGTGTCAGACGCAAAGTGTGGGATCTCATGGCTCGTTTCAATGAATCAAAATACCTTTCAGAATCTTGGCAAAAGAGTAAAGCACAGTATTTCCATTCTTTCCCCGTAAATATTATTGTGGCTGGCCAGCGTGGAAGGGTAGGCCAATATATTCTCGGGGGTGGGGGCTCTTTTTGTGGAGGCCTTTCCACCGGCAGTCATGGAGGCAAGTAATTGCAGGGCTGCACCATCATCTAAATATTACCGGGGTTTGTTGGTATGCCTGAAGCGATGAAGCCCGCGTCCTTTTTTGCAGCACTAAGCCTCGTTGTGTTCTCGACTTAAAATGCGACGAATGTTGTCACCCCCAAACCCCCCTTGCCCACGTCGCCACAGGTGTACCCGTGCCTGAGCTTCCCGAGCCCCGTGCCCTCGTGGGTGGGAGAGAGCGACGGTATCAGCCTGCACTGCGGGGGCGAGGGCGGCGCCATGGACGGCAGCACCAAGGAGGGAGGCCTGAGTGTCACGCTAACGATCCGCCTGCTCATGCATGGCAAGGTGCGGAGCAGACGATTGGCACGGCCTCAGTATGGCGGCCAGTGGGGGCATGGGAGCTGGAGGGGCGGCAAAGCTTGCGCAGTGTGACATTCACAGCTGGTCACGCATGATGGCTCATCATGTTTCCTGGAAATCGATCAACAGAGCTGCTAGTTTTTAGAAGAAAAATAATTCATTTTTTTAAATTTTGTTTACCTGGTTTCTGCTAACACTTTTGTTTCTTAATTTTGTTGTTGTTTGTTCTGCTAATGTATATATTAAACTGATAAAGGTGGTTATTTTTAAAAAATCAAATTGAGGTAATTGTTATGTGGTTTAATTAAGACATGTATTTTGTGTTTTATCTAGCAGAACAAAATCACCTTTTAGTATAATTTCAGTTACATTGATTTCATCTGACGTGAGCTGCATTTTTAATTATCTCAAAAGGTTTTCCAATTTTTTGAAAGACAATTCTTTGCTCTTTATGAGCTTTGTTGCTCTGAGAAGCTGAATAGATATTTAATAGACTCTGGTTCACCAATTGTGTCATTATTCACATAATCTTCACCCGTAATGTAAATTTTGATTGCTTAGTGAAGCTGTGTTCTTGTCTTTGTAGGAGGTTGGAAGCATCATTGGTAAGGTAAGTGATGGTTTCTAATGCTGGCAAATACAGTTGAACACTGCATTCCGGAAACTTTATTTGACATAAATAATTAACATTTGTAATGTTCACATTGGTGCCATGTAAGGTCCTTGCATGTTTATTTTTTGTAGAAAGGGGAGACGGTGAAAAAAATGCGCGAGGAGGTACGGTCGGTATGGAAACTTTTTCTTATGCATTTTTTTAAATTTGTATCCATATACAATAACTTGCATTTGCACCACTCACTTGTTCATAAAAGGGAGGACATTCTGGTTATTAATAGTGAACTGACCTACGCAGAAGGCAGTGCCTGTTTCTTCTCTCCAGATGTACCCATGAGCGAACAGCCAAAGCCCTGGGGTGCCTGTGCTGATTAACTGTTGTACGTTGATGAAAATTCCAACATTATTTTGTGTCATTGAACACAAATAACAAAATTAAAAAGTGCTGTCGATAAACAATTTTACTCCTAGGGAATGTTTAAATGACAGGGCGGAATGAGTTTGAACCATAGGCCTCTGTGGGAGGTTTGTCCACTGCTAAATGAAGCAGCATGCTCTTCTATCCATGCTGTCTGTGGAATATTCTGGACGGACTTTGAGCTCTTGCGTTTTCCTTTAACCTTGCTTGACAAGGGCATGGCCCAAATGTAAAGGATGGGTAAACTGGGTACAAGGAGGTGGCATGGTTTTCTTGGTAATGATCAAGGGTGCTTTTTTCCCTGAGGGCAGTAACCAGCAAGTCCTTCACAAGTTATCCAAAACATTAAGTTACAGGCAACACATTAATATTTTCTAACTTCATTTCAAGATGTATTTACACTCATTATGCAAATTATATTCAATTTTCATGTTACCTGCAGTTTCATTGTTTTATTATTTTAACTTTGTTGTTTAATTGTTTGTCCGTCTATAATGTTACAATATGACAAGAAGAACACAATTGTGGACCTCATCTCAGCACTCTTAGCTGATGACAAAAAAATCCCATAGCTCATGTACATCGGATGTCCATAAAACACAACTCAAAACATCAACCTGTTACAAGTAAAATGAAGCAAAGCTCTACTCGCACCACGTGTGCGGGCACTGAAAACGTGTGCGGCGACGAAACTGCTTGAGGGGATGCGTGTTGAGCTCGGGTCTTAAGGGTGCCGTCTAACGAGAGCTCCGTGCGTCACTGGGCAGAGCGGCGCACGGATCAACATCTCCGAGGGCTCGTGTCCTGAGCGAATCGTCACCATCACCGGCCCCACTGACGCCATCTTCAAAGCCTTCGCGATGATCGCAGAGAAGTTTGAAGAAGTACGAAACGTTTCCTCCGCCCTTGCATTTCTTCCGCACCTCCGATTAGCACCGTTGGCTACGTACGTGTGCGAAAGACGTTCGAAACAAGTCTTCGAAAGGATTTCCATGGGAATTTGAAACTCGTGCTTGCTTGCTTTAGCCACCCCCCATTGGGTTAGCTCGATAATTTTCACAGGATCCAAAAGGGAAAATGTTTTTATTGCATCGGGAATTTTTGTTGAATTGTAAATTTCCAAGTGCCTGAAAGAATTATTGTCATTTATCTTTTCAAGTATTTCTTTAAACCACAACAGCACTATTGTTTATGGGTTTACCAAAGCATCGACTGGTACTTTGCACCTTGGTGTTGAACACAAGGCCCCCTCATTTAGATGGCGTATGCTTACCAACAATGTCTGGTAACCCACCAGACGTTTTTTTAATAAGCCTGACTGCTGATAAGATCCAGAAGGTCGAAATCGGTCCCGAGTCTTCGTACTTAAATACAGATAATATTGGTTAGAAAACCCAGGACGCCTATTGACTAAAGCATAATTGTAATAAAACTAGATTCGAGGCTTTCGTGACTGCAGGAAATAATTATTTGGTTCTTTCGGTAAAGTTGCGTAGAAATAAATTAAATAATAATCGAATACGACGTTTCGATTGCAACACAAGCAGCCATCATCAAGGTACATTCAGCCATAATCAAGGTACATTAATTTGTACCTGATGATGGTTGCTTGTATTGCAATCGAAAACGTCGTATTCTATTATTATTTAATTACATTCATTTCTACGTGACTTTACCGAAAGAATCATAATTTTATTATTATGTGAACACGCAGAATGGAGTCGTCCTTATGTTTGCTTTAACCGATAAAAGCACTGGGTAAGTTGAGTAAGATGCCTTCTTCTCGCTGTGCACACCCACACGGGCAGGACATTAACAGCTCCATGACAAACAGCACAGTGACCAGCAAGCCGCCCGTCACCCTGCGTCTTGTGGTGCCAGCCAGCCAGTGTGGCTCGCTCATCGGCAAGGGTGGCTCCAAGATCCGTGAAATCCGAGAGGTGAGGGGACGGCTCCGTAGCTTGAGGGGGAAACAAAACTCGACCCACAGTCGCTTTTCCTCGTTTTTACGTGCCTGCTAACGGTGCGCTTCAGAGATGTGTGCACCGACATCGGCGAACCAAACGTGCAATTAGTGGCCAAGCGCCAATGGTGGAAATACCACATTTGCGTGTCCGAGGCCAGTCTGCCCATCGAAGATCGTTGTTGACCTCGCACAGAGTGGTTGAATTGATTTCTCTACAGGAATTTGACCCCAGCAACCTTCCGAAATGTGAGTCATTCACCCGACCCACACCATCATATGAAGTTATATATAGCGTTTGCAATTTAATCAATAAAAAAAAACTATGCATTTGTTCATTAAGTATTTATTTGAAAGAAGAGATCGGTCAATACAATGCCTGTTGGGCTTTAATGTCATTAAAATGAGTTTCATACATTTTGAAGACCGCTTTGTGTAATGTGAAACTGGTTTAAGTGTACGCGGTGTCGTCATCCTCGGGAGTGAATTCACTTTCAAATTGCAGAAGCGGTATCATAATTCTTGCTTGCATTTCGTGCAGACAATGTTAGGGAGACTGCGAGAAAAAAAATCTTTACGAATGATGACAACGATGACGGTGATTAGAATGTTCTTGACATGCTTAACTAACGGCCTTAATTGCGTTCGCAAGATTATCAGTTAAATTCATGCTGCGGAGAGAAATGCAATAAATGACATTTCTGCCAATGGGCTTTCATAAACTTGGATAAGGGCGACATAATTAGCTTTTCACGTTGGGCCCTGATAAAGGCCTATCGAATTAAATATTGACGACATAGTTTTCTTACAGTGATGTAATATTTTGCATTTAAAAAGCTGAGAGCTGAACTAAACGGGATACAAATTTGACATAAATTCCCTCAAATTAAGTATGCAAAGGCAAAATGGAATTATCAATTGATATTTGGAGGGAACTTTTTTTTACGTTGAAGATTACACCCCACTGGATTAAGGTGTGTGTGACAGTTTTCCACAGTTGTATAGACGACTCCCAGGACAATGTGGTATGAGCTACAATTAAGTTGTACCTGCAGAATTCAATCGGTGTTGGACAATGTCTTTAAAGAATCATTAAACAATGGGCCAAACATTGAAAATAGAACGAGGACTCGGGTGAAACTTTCCTCGATTTACAGGAATTTAAGCTGTCTCATTGTATTTGCCCCAATATATATTCATTAAAACGAATAAATATTACTTCTGTTCTGCTGGATGAAGGCCTCCCCATGCATTATTTCATCATACTTCGTTATGCTAGTCAGTAATGGTTGGGGTGAAAGTGGAGTGCTTAAGATCGATTTTCCATATTCCTTCATATGGCTGATGTAGATGCAGTGCAACAACTACACTTTCACAATCCCGTGCAGGAGTGTATCGCTGTAATGTCCCCTTCGTATTTCTGGATCGGGCATTGTCTTTGCCGTTGGCCTGATCTACTACATCAATGTGAATGTGTTTTCATTATGTTCGCGAGATACCGATTCGCCATGTCCAGGGGTCTGAGGTCCTTAGGTTTAAGGTGGTGACGTGTCCTAGCGGGTAGCACGTTAGCCCCCGTTGCAGAGGTTCACGGTTCGAATCCAACGGCGGCACTTATTCTTCCTGCGTGTGTATTAACCGTGACAATACACAACGTCCACTTGACAGCGGATGTTAAAAGAGATTCCCTGCCTTAAATTTCGATTTAAAGCTTTCGTGACTGCAAGGATTCATCTTCTTTGGTTCTTTCGGTAAAGTCACGTAGAATGAGAATAAAATAATAAATTAATAAAATAAAATACCACAATAAAATTCTCACGACGTTTCGGCCACAACACAAGTGGCCTTCATCAGGTGAAGGGACGAGACTGTCTCGAGGACAGCGCTCCAGCGTCTCGAGGACAGCGCTGGAGCGCTTGCCCCTTTCTCCTTGTCGCTGGAGCGCTGTCCTCGAGACAGTCTCGTCCCTTCACCTGATGAAGGCCACTTGTGTTGTGGCCGAAACGTCGTGAGAATTTTATTGTGTTATTTTATTAATTTATTATTTTATTCTCATTCTACGTGACTTTACCGAAAGAACCAAAGAAGAAGATTCTCTGACATCGCTCGCAAGAATAGGCCATTATGTGTTGGCATCAATTGAAAATTATCCGCAAATTACTCGATTGGGATTATATGCAGCAATCATCACCCAATACTGGCAGGTCACTTAAAAATTAAACTGTCATGGTCTCGAGAGTTCTCGCCTGGTTAAACAAAATAAACTTGGACATAAACTTGAAGGTTCTAGCAACTACATTACCATTCCATGAAATGAATAGTATACAAATAAATTATTACTTATGTATGCTTGGCAACTGTGGTGGACTGCTTGAGCTTTACTACATTTTAATTGTACATCTTATTCCGTCATGTTGATGTTGATCCTGAGCTGTGTTTCTAGTCGACAGGGGCACAGGTGCAGGTTGCCGGCGACCTGCTGCCAAACTCCACAGAGCGAGCCGTCACAATTTCTGGCACGCCTGAAGCAATCATCCAATGTGTGCGGCAAATCTGTGTGGTCATGCTGGAGGTAATGGCCGTGGCAACGAGTCACCCGCACTCTCGGAATGAAAGGCTGACGTCTGTGGTAGAATTGTAATTTTTATTCTAAGACTTTTAGGACCGATGCTGCGATTGCACTCTTAAGATGATTGAATAATCTGTCAGCGCCGTGCGAGGTTACCCGTGGAATATTTGTAAAGTAATCACTGTGTGACCGACATGAAGTGAATGGGAAAATTCCCATGACCGTAACAATGTTTAGCCAGGTTACACTTTCATAATTGTAGTCAATCATTTTTATAGCCATTAAAACATTGGTGAGGTAACTCTGCGAGATGTTTATTGTTTTTATGTCCATTTTTCCCGTGCGAGATCATAAAATGTCCTCACAAGATTGTGTCTCCCCTGCATCTTTTTTTTTTGTTGCAATAGAAAACACCTTCAAAGGACTCCTCACTTGCCCCTTTCGCCTTGTCCTTTCACCCCCCCTCCCTCTTCCCCAAACCACTGCACCCCACCTCAAACCCCACCACCGCACTCCCCTTTCCCTCCACACCCCATGTTGTGTTCCTGTGCCACCACCCTCACCCCTGACCCACCCTGCACACGTACTGCCCTCTTTGCCCCGCTCAGTCCCCACCTAAAGGTGCCACCATCCCGTACCGGCCCAAGCCGGCCGCTTCCGCCCCGGTGATTTTCGCTGGCGGTCAGGTAAGGCCGGATGGCCTCGCCGCTCACGCGGGCAACCCTGCCGTCTTACCGCACCACCCGCCAGCCCTCACAGTTAGTTCCCAATGCCTTCATTTTTTTACGTGTTGTTTTTTTTGAAATGTCATGGACTTTGTTAAAGTTGTATTATTTGTCTGTTTTTGATATAATGTGTTTTTCAAAAATTAATGGTCTGCTGCTCGTATAAATTAACAGAAGAAAAAGGTTTAACGTTAAATAAAATGTGTAAGTACGTGTGTAACGACGGCATAGAGGGTTTTGTAAACTGTTGTACAGATACAAACAAGTTCTCACACTATTTCTACATTTCTATTAAAATGGCAGTAATGTTTTGAGCAAACGGATTACATCACCCTCTGTACCTGTAGACGTGTAAGATAATGAATGTAAAATATTGATCATGTTTCGTTTTTATTGCTGGTCTGTTTTATTGAGTAGCAAAGAGTTAATTCTTTAAATTGCCAATAAGTTAATTGTTTTAAGCTACGCATGTGCTTGTTTTCATGTAAGACGTTTCGTTTCCAAAAAATGCTTAAAAATGTCATGGATATGTAAAAGGTAAAAGTGATTTGTTTTCATGCTCATAAGAAACAGCTAAAATGTTAATGTTTGCTTTGTGCACGAGACTTGCCGCTCGCGTGCACATTGAGAAGTATGTGCAGACCTGATTCTGTGGTATGGATTACGGCCATATCCATTAGTCTGGTTTTAATGCGGGTGCGCTGTTTAATATCATGCGAGGTTTGATACTATAATCTTCTCAGTTTTGGTCTCTGCGTTAATGTTTTCCAGGCGTACACCATTCAGGGACAATATGCCATTCCTCACCCGGATGTGAGTCCTTCCTGATGACATTTCACAGATCATTTGTATCAGCCAGTGGCAGCCACTTGTGATGTATGCATTTGCTGCCCATGCAGCATTTGGCGTTTGATTGAACTGTTTGCAGTTTATTTATGAATTTGTTGCAAGCCAATTGTAATCTATATTTTTGTTATTGATAAAAAGTTATCACCGAATAAGTAAAAGAGAGTATTGTAAGTTTGTCTGGTAGTTATTGTTGTTTGCCAGAATTAATCATCCGATGTTACATAGTAGATGCTAAAGTTTAGTTTTTTAGCACGAGGAAATAATCACCAATCTGATATAATTTTTTAAAGAGTGTCTTTTATTATACATCACATAAACAGCTTAGGTTACAGTTGTGATTCATAGTTTTGTTGGTTTTGTAATTGTTGTATTATTATGACTTTACAAATGTAAAAACATATAAACGTCAGCCCAAGTTACTGAAAGGATGTGCAGGCTTTCTCTTATTACATTGTGGTTTTTTTAAGCGTAATTACGCTTTGCGTCTTAGCTCATTGTTTTGTGTTAATAGTACATGTAGAAGGGAGACGTAATTTATTGGGAGCTCCTTGCTCTCAAGTCTTTTTAACAATTTGTCTGAAGTATACAAATGTTCATTCAGGTGTTTCATTGTGGTGATGGTACAGAATGTAAAATGTCTGTGGAGTTGTTGTTTTTTACGGTATATCGGTTTACGAATTATGCAAATTGTTATTTTAATGTGCAAATCACTTCTGTATTTTGAGCTGCACAAAAAAATGAAATACTTTTTCTTATTGTACTCTTAAAAACATAATTTTCGTTTCGTTTCACATCAGGATTCGTGCTTAGGGATAGATATATATGGGTGTGCACCATGGCTCTCCAGCATGCAAAAGGCATACGATTCTTTTGGAGCTGCTTCTGCCCATTACATGCATCATACAATGCAAAACCCGGTACATGATTTCATTTTTACTGTTACCAGTACTCCAACCCGCTACCCAGCACTAACTTTTGAAGTACTGCATGGCAATAAACTTCCAAAGCGCTATTTTAGATACAAAAAAAACTGTCTAACAGTCATATTAGCCAATGTGCTCTCTCACACCAATAGAATTTCATAAAGCAAGTACTGTACGTGTCGGTGTGGTTTTTGTTTGTTTACCTTCTACAAAATAATTTTATGGAATGCACAGCAGATGTTGAACAATCTTAATATCCGCTGTGGTCCAGCTACTTTCTTAACGGTGGTATGTCCTTGTAAGGTACTGCTGGGTAATATCACTTTTAGACAGTTTAACGTTGAGCTGTTGTGTCCTAGTCCAGTTTTATTTCTCCAACCTTTGCTACATATTGACATCCCCAAATCATTGATTCCAACTTATCGATACTACAACCTAATTCAACCTCCCTTTTCCTCCCCACCGTGATAACAACGTTAATCCTTTTTTTTAATTCCAGTTTGCACTGTTTCTGTAATCTTCTTCCGTTTGATTTGTTAGCTCTAATCTCCCCCTCCCCGACCCATCTCTCCCTCCCTCTTTCACTCCGTGTCCCCCTCCTCTGCACTCCCCCCCCTGCCTCCCGACATCCTTCACCCGACACCCCCCCCCCTCACCTGACCCTGCCCTGCCCTGCACTGTGCTCCCACCACCCACCCCCATCCTGCCCTCACACAACCCTGCACCTCACACCCGACACTCCACCCCGTCCCTCCCTGCAGTTGACCAAGCTCCATCAGCTGGCTATGCAGCATTCCCCTTTTACCCCCCTCGGACAGACTACCCCTGGTTTCCCCGGTACGTACCTGCCCAACCTTAAGGCTCCCCCTGGACAACAATTATTTTGTCGTCTCAACGTCCTGTGTAGCCTCTACCTGATTGGGCGAAACAATTCTATGTTTTCCAAACAGAACAAACAAACAAAAATTGTAAAAATAAATAAATCCACCCAAAAATCTTTGCCCTGGATTAGTCTTAACTGTGCATGCCGTTGCGTCAGTTGGCTGAGGGGAGATTATAATGAAGGTGAGTATGTTTCCTCCCCCTGGCTTCTGCATTTGTGTTACTAACTTCTTCCTGCATCTGTTACATCCAAACCATTTCCCTAAGATGTTAACCCCAAAAAACCTCTTTTGCGTTTGTTTTATTCCGTTGCAGCCCTTCAAACTGCTTCTTTTTGGCACTTCTCTTTACATTATACTTAAACAATCTCATTGGTAGGGATGGGTTAGGTCCAAAAAACAGGTGTATATTTTCAGGTCAATACGACATTTACGTTACAGAAACTACATTTAAGGTTGCAAATGCCATCGTTGACTGTGAGCATTTTCTTAAAGTGCCATGCAAATGTTTTATGCAAGCAAATGAGGGCTATGTTGTTCTGAAAGCTAAAACAGTGTCCCATGATATCAGGTACATGGGAAAGAATGCAGATTAATATCACTCGCCTCTGCAGGAAAACCCAGCAATGGTGGTTATTACTATTTTATTTGCTAAAATATATGGTTCTGAGAAATGAAAACCGGTTTTACACAGTTGCTTCATGAATTCTGAGAGGATTTATCCACACCTTTCTTACTGCTTTGTGAGAGCTTCTATTTCACTTCAACCTTCGTGTGATGTACGGTACGTCTTGATATCTTCAAATCTTCAGGCTCCATCCTCTGTTGGCTCAGTAATTCTTGCACTAATATTTTCACGTGGAAACAATTTCACATGTCTTGAAAATAATTGTATTAAATTTTGATTTAAAGCTTTCGTGACTGCAGGGATTCATAGTTTTGGTTCTTTCGGTAAAGTCACGTAGAAAGGGAAACAATAAAATAATAAAAATATAAAACAATAAAATTCTCGCGACGTTTCGACTGCAACACAAGCAATCATCATCAGGTGTGAAAACCACACCAAGAAAGTTGTGATGATGATTGCTTGTGTTGCAGTCGAAACGTCGTGAGAATTTTATCGTTAAATATTTTTATTATTTTATTGTTTCCCTTCTACGTGACTTTACCGAAAGACCCAAGAATAATAATTGTATTCTCATCCATTGGTCGGCGATTTATAATTGCAATTTTTGGCAGATTTTGTATAGGTTTCAAACTCTTTGACATACAATAAATATCAAACCTACGAGATCAACTTATCATCAACACACATTGAGTTTGTCTCGTTTCTACGGTTGAACACCTCCAGTCATTGTATGGCCACCACAGTACAGTGTTAACATTCACAAACAAAAAATATTCCTCTGGTGTGGCTGCAACAAGAAATACAAAGACGTGCATTGTTTTTGTTTAATGAACTATGTTGTAAGATCTGTATTGAATTTGTTTATTCTAAAATTGTGAACTTGTGCTGTCGCCCAGCAGGTCTGGACAATGCTCAGACAACCTCACATGAAATTACCATTCCCAATGATGTAAGTGTCACAAGTGTCAACTGTAAATGTCTTTGTCGGTTCACTGCGTGCCTGCATACAATTTTTTTTCTAGCAGGGAAATATGAATAGTACACGAGCTTCAGAAGAGATTTGTTTTTGGTTGGGTCTGTAATCAATACAAAAATCAATTATTAATCCCCATATTGGCTGCAAAAATGTATGTTAGGTACACAAGTTATTTAAAATCCATTGTGTTTTTGTAACAAGGTGGGAAATGCTGTCTATTGATAAAATATCAATTTGATTGAAGAAGATGTTCAAATGGAAAAATAAATATGAAATTAAAGTCTACATGATTTACGTGTATTGTACTGAGCAGATGGCGTTCTGCACAGTGCACTCTTATTAACTCAATCCCTACTTCCCCTGCAGCTGGTAGGATGCATAATCGGAAGACAAGGCAGTAAAATCAACGAGATCAGACAGATGTCCGGAGCGCAGATCAAGATCGCCAATGCGGTAGAAGGCTCGGCAGAACGACAGATCACCATCATAGGATCGCCAGCCAACATCAGCCTGGCACAGTACCTCATCAATGCAAGGTAGGCCTCGCAAGGCCTACAGCCTAGCCTGCCCTGCACTCGTCCTGGTCCACTGCAGCTCTTATCCAGACAATGACTCCAGCTCGATCGGAGGGTGCTCAAAACAAAGAACTCCACGCTGTCAGTGTGGGGATCAGTTTGCAGCCATTCGTGACGCATGTCTTGTATTGTCGTTGCTTAAGCCCCGTGGGTGAACAGTTGGCACTGTGCGTGTTTGGTACTGCATATGAATAGTGCTCGTAAAGAGTCTGCATTCGCCTAAGAGAAGGGCCCGGGTTTGTGTGATCACGCAGAAATATACCGAAACCGTGGAATGCTTGTTATATTAGTATATTTTAAAACAGCTATTAAAATGATTGTTTTCAAAATGGGCCCAGTTTAAAATGTCACCCGTCATTGGAAGAGCTTCCCAAACTGACTGGAGTATGTGTTTATGCTGTTTGCAAAATTGGTCTGATTTCTTCTTAGCTTAATCGCGGTGGTGTTGTGTATTTAACATTCCATTAAGTAACAATCGTTACATTGTCATAAATGCTGAATTCTATGTAAATCAATAACCAATGTTCTTTAACCTCAGGAGCACTTAACACATGGAGATGTGGCTGTTACACAGGATATATTGCATTTAAAATAAACGTGTTAAATATACACTGTAAAACGTTTATAATAAACTGTATTAACCAATTACAAAAATATACGCGAAGTAGGATTGAGCTTTATTGAGAGGCTGATCATGAAACTAAATTGACAATTGTAAATATTTCATCATTGACAGTTATATTATCACTGCTTAAAGGGACATAATTGTTTTATTTTCCTGGAAAACTGCAGTTATATGATGCTTGCAAGCTTTAGTATGCTTCTTGAAGATAGTATAAATTATAAGGAGTAACAATTTTTAAGAAATATTTTACATTAATTTTGTACATTAGAATCTTAAATACTTCCTGTTAACGTTTGTTTTAGTCCACTGAATTGGTGTGTGTATGTATGTACATTGAACTTAATTCGCACCGTACGTAGCCAACCGTGCTAATCGGAGGTGCGAGGAAGGACGACAAACTGAAAACAAAAAAGCAGTTGTAAAGAAATTCGTTTTCAATCAACATTTAAAAGTGCATAGCTACAGCGGCTTCCTAATTTCGGAAGGAAGAGCGTTCCAGACGGCTGCAGAAGCGCATCTGAAAGTGCGCTATGTGGTGACCGTGTGGGCACTTGTGGATGTATGCATCAGCAGTTTGAATTGATGTTTGGTGTTTAGAGATGTCCCTCTTTAGTCTGAAGCATACTGAATAGAAGGCCTCCAAAGCATGATTGCCAAACTTCTAAATATGCTTATAGTTTTGGATTATTTTTTCGATTATTTCTCATTGTTTCCATGAATAATAACTCTTCCTTGTTTGTTATTTCATTTGGCTGCATCGCACCCTTTTTTGTTTTTGTAATGTTTCTTCATCAGTTCACGGGATGCCCTTTTGTTGTTTCTATTCTTTAACACATTCCATGTTCCCTTCTTCCTCCCCCTGCCTCCCACCCCTGCCCTTTAACTTCCCCATCCATGTACTGCCCTTGTGTTTGCCTACTTAACCCCTCCGTGAATGTTTTGACCCTGTCCCTCCCGTTGACCCTGCCACCCCCTTACCCTTAATTTCCCTAACCCCCCCCCCCCCCCCCCCCCCGTCCCATGCTACCCCCTTCCCTCGGCCTTCCCCATCCCCATCCCTCTCTCCGTTTGCAGCCTGGATATGGCTAAAGCCGCCAACCAGTCTGCCTCCGGCCAGAACCCCGTTGACCTGAACCTCCCTCAGCCCGTCTCCTCCTCCTCCTCCTCCACCACCACCACCACCACCCCACTAGCCTCCGCCCCCACCCCCCTGGCTGCAGCGGCGGCTGTGACCCCCCACCACCACCCTGCTCCTCCTCCCACCTACGCCGTGCCTGTCTCCGTCTCCAGCCTGCTTGGCCTCAAGGCCGTCCCGCTGCTGGCCTTAAATGCGGCGGCGGCGGCTGCCGCTGCCGCCCCTGGGGCCTCGCTGGCGGGCCTGGCTGGCCTGACCGCTTACACGGCCAAAATGCCGTCCGCAGCCGCATCTGCCACCGGGGGCAAGAAAGGCGAGCGCCAGAAGTTTGCTCCGTATTGACCAGATGGGAGCAAAATGATGATGATACTGGCTTGAGGCTGCTCGTCCTCATGATCTGAAGCAACCAGGGCCCAAGATAATTAGACAAAATAAGCATTCACTTTGAGATTATAGGTAACTGGCAGTTTGGACATTTGCATGTCACAGTGAGCATTGTAAAAAAAAAAAATGTTGAAATTACTATTAATAATTGGTAGTGTTGAAGAACTAAATAAAAAATTAAGTCTAAATTTGATGTTAAATGCTACCCCGTTACCAAAAAAAGGCAATGCCAGCCACCTCCACAAAAAAAAAGAATGAAAAATGTAATCCAAGGTGTCAATTTGTATTTTTTGTTATTTGATAAAAGGTAATGTAGGGATCAAACCTCAATGTTATTTTCATGTAACAAACCAAAACCTCATTTCCAAAATTTTCGGTTTTATGTCAAAACTGCAAGTATGTAATTTGTGGAAATCCAGAATATGGTGATAGAAACCTGCAGGGCACAATGCAAAACAACCTTCATTGTCGACATTAAACCCTCACTGTTATCCAGTTTATATATTTTTTTGGTAGTTAATACTTTGTTGGAAAGTGTAAAATTGCCAGTGCTTTTTTGTTTATCATTGTGTTATTTATAACATTCATTGTTATACTTTTGTCATGTCTTCCACTGTTTTGGATGTGCTGCCTCTGCTGCGTATATTCTGTGTTTGGCTTTTCGGAAGCTCGATAATTGTTCGACCGTCGATGCCGTCGGTGTGGATTTGGACAGACTCTACCACATGCACACACCAAGCACATGCCATACAAAACTTAAAATACACATTTCGGTTAACGTCTGTTCAGCGCTATGTAAAACTAGCCTTTATGCAAACTATCAAGCGAGAAAAATCTTGTCCTTGTACAAGGTACGTGGCTGGTGAACATCGGATAACTGTCGTAAAGGAAACGTTAGAAGTGTGGAGGAAATCACTATTTGGGTTGATGGAAATCTGCCAAAACGCTAAGTTTAAAATGCAATTATCATATTTCTGTTGAGATTAAAGTGAGCGAAAAAAATGTATTGAAAGTTTTGAGAGGTATTAAAACTGCAATAAGAACACAAGGTTTCTTACGGTTTTTAATCGACCCCGCCAGAAATTAGTTTTGCTGTGTCACGACAGTAGTACAGTTACGCCTCCTATTGACGCACACCCATACGTTTAACCAGTCCTGTTGCATGGATTACTAATGCGTAATTGATATGAATTTTTTTACCTACTGTATGTAGTAATTGCATAACTGGACATTTGTATATGAGCATGATGCGAATAGTTTTAGATGGAAAATTAATTAAAAGCACTGCAAAGTTGCATACTGTACATATAGATTTTTTTTTTTAGATTGTGATGCAGGCTATAATACTGGCCTGTGATATTAGATCCGAGTTATTTTTTTTTCCTAACCATTGCTGTGGGAGTTGCTCATGTACACCCAGATATGTTAAAGTGGAGGTATTGGTCTATGTATGGTGAAAAACTACCGAAAGTATTTATAAGTATGGTGGCTTTCCACCGAAGCGGCCGTTCTGCGTGTAAACCCGCTCCATCGTCAGTATTAATATTCAGCTTCTGTAATGTACGCTTTGCCCCTTTGTTAACTTTGATGGCGATGCACTACACGTAATGAGCTTTTTTTTTTTGCCGAGACGACGGTCCGTTTCTGCTGAGAACACGCTGAAGGTCCGACCGCCGACCCATCGCTGTTACTTGGGGCTCTTGTGTTTTCGTACCGATTTTGCGAAAACCATTCATTGTTGCCCTCCCCCCCCCATATCCTCTCCGTGTTTTGCCACTGCTGCAAACCCGCGATGTAGCCACCACAGACGCTGTAATATTGAACACATAATCTGTACGTTCATATACGACAACCTTGTAACACCTTTTTTTTTAAAATACCTCGCCATTCAGCGTGTTGTAGCCGTATCGTAAAATAGACACCGGCAGCAGCCCGCGGTGTGCAGTTTCGCGTTGCCACATTGAAGTTCAGGGTTCCACATTGGCGCATACTGCGGTCACATTCTACTCTGGCGACGTGTATTGCTCTTTATGTGCCCCTCCGGTTCCTCTGCGTTTTTCTTTCAGGCTCACTTCAGAAGTGTCTGGATTGGGAACATTGTAGTAGCGAGCAACACCTTCCGAGTCGCGCGAACATCCCATGTTACATTGTACGTGGAAATCTGCAGCTCGGCAAGAACAGAATCACTTTGTTTGTGCCGTTCTTTGCTCATCTGCGCTGCCCTGTTTATATCAACATTTAAACTAAAAAAAAAAAATCCATGAATATTTACGGGAGCTTGTGACCTGTATTTGTCAATAAATTACATTTGGCTTTTAATTCCACGGGCATACAGGCTGTCATATTTTATAAGGTGTTGAGATATAAATGCTTAGTCTACAAATATTTTATTTAATGTTTTTTTTTTGTTATACTGCCATTGCGACATGTATTTGAACTATTAGTGACATTGCTTAACTGTGGCTGTTATGAATTATTATCAACTGTTCACTTTTGTAAAATAAAGTAAATTAACTTTACAGAATACTCTACATCTGTCTGTTTATAGTGTGTATGTTACTTTTTATATTTGTTATTAAAATACGACACTTAATGAAATGTATCATTTAGATGAGATGTAGCAGGAACTTTATTATCTTGGTAATGTTTTTGAATACAAACCATTGTGTGCTGAACAAAACATTTCCACCGACTCGGATTCATGTATGTGAATGTAATTCGTGCAGTAGTCACAGTACTGTTTTAACATTTTAATTCAAATTGGTCCTCCAGGTGCTACATCTCTGATATTAATGCATTAGACAAATACATTGCTCTCGGATTTCAAGAGCAGAACTCCCTTTTGTGTCCACATTAAAATCAAAACATGTTTCACACCATCGGCCTATCGGCTTACCAGACTAATATCTTTGCATAATTTGTTTATACAAACAAACTCGAGCAGTTTCGACCTGGCAGTATCACTACGATTACATTATGAGCCCAGGTCTATATCTTACGTGTTGCATCTTGCAACACGTTTTGGAGAAAGACACTCGTAATGTGAGCGTTGGCGCGGAGGAGGTTGAGAGGCTTGTGATAATATACGAGCACCAATAAAAGCTGAAAAAGCGATCGTTTTCTCATACCGACCCCTCAATCTTAATTTTGAGCCCGATTTTAGGAAAATCTGTTATACATCAAATGTATTATTTGCTGTGTGCTTGCAAATTGGTTTATGGCATCTTTATAGAATGCGTTCTGGCACAGCATCTGATCAAGAATGCCGTACGAGGAACTCTTAAGGCGAGGCCAGCTGAGTTCACCAAACATCACTGTGTGATGTTGCCTGCCCACGAATTATGTCCCTGCTTTTACATCACACAGGTTGCAGTGATTTGTGTGATTCATCAGCAGCGAGTCATGTGACTGGCAAATCCCATTTGCTGGGTTTTAACCACACTCCTACATCGCTCAAAAAAATGCCACCCCTGTTCAGCGTGCGATAGCAAACAAGCTTGTAAATGAAAAAATGGAGAAAGTTGCATGTGATCTCATCCGGAGTGAGTGAAACACGAGGCCTGAAATGTTTCCAACCAATTTTGAGGACGCTAAGTTGAGGGGCATTGCGATATGCCAGTGGCTTTGAGATCTGGTAATATATCACGATGTAGGCCACATCTTGCACCATACATCTATACAGAGAGGAGGCATCCAGTTCCTTTGCACCATAGCTACACTGAGCTGGCTTTGTTGTATTTCTTGTGAACATCTCGCCCAGAAACTAAAAAGGTTATATCCGACTGAATTTATTTTTGGACTACAACTAGCATTCGGACTACAACTAGCATTATTTCTGGATTATTTTGCATGATATTGTAACTTAAATGCTGTTTATTACAAATATAAACTGCCACAAATGACAGAAATACATTACCTAATTGATTGCGGTGAAGCTCTGTCCCATACTTTCACATGTCTAAACATTTAAACAACCATTGCTGTGCGATGTTTGTAAAAACAAATTGGTAATTTATATGATGATGATTAATACTTTATACGTGGGCTCGATTCAAATAAACATCTAGTCTTTTTAATTAGAACAATGTGCCATATGGTTCGATAGTTCTGCTCAACTATATGTTTTAATCCCATAATTGCCCATGCATGCAATGTAACGTTATTGCTTCTTATTGCGTCTTCTTTTCATGCAAAAATCTAGCAGTCCCATCCGATTAGAAAAATAATTTAGATGAATACAATGCCTCACTTTCTACCAGAGAGCCCCAGAGTTATGCATGAATAATCTACAACACTGTGGAAATGTCTCATTACGCAATTATGCACAGCCAGCACCTGAGGCCACATTGTTACTGCTTGACTTGAAGACCGATGTGGCTCAGTGGTAAATGAAGATATAGAGATCTCAATTAACTTTCCGTTATATACTGATACATTAACGCATACGTACTATATAGACACACAAATAAAGTCTTGAACTAATTAAGCAATGAAAACATATTAGGAAATATATTTAAACATAAATCCTTGCTCAGGGGAAGAAATGTGGATAATGGTTCACAAGTCTTGAACATTTCTGTGATATATCTTTGACGATGTTGAACACATTTTACAGGTGAGTATATGTATGTTGAACTTGTTTCACATCGTACGTAGCCAATTATGCTAATCGGAGGAAGGACAGCAAACTAAACAAAAAAAGCAATTCTAAATAAATGAGTTTTCAATCTAGATTTAAACGTGCATTGCTCCAGTGGCTTCCTAATATCGAAAGGAAGAGCGTTCCAGATGGCCGCAGAAGCGCATCTGAAAGCGATCGATGCAGTGGCTGTATGTTAGACGGCCAGCCAAAAGCCACTGCGAGGATTGACCCGGATTCGCGTGATGGTTTATGCCCCTATACGAGATCAGCAAGGTGGTCCGTAATGTCAACATCTCTAGCTTAAGCCAGAAGGTTAAGGTGGTGGGTTTTAATGCTCTAAAAGTCTGGTCATATTGTTTTCTGTAACCCACACTCATTTACAGATAAGTGTATTGTTCGGTCCAACGGTAGGAATACAGTATTCGTTTTCAAATGTATCCATACGTTTTTTGGCGAACCAATCAGTAACAGTATTGCATTTTAATTTGCCATGTTATCATTTAGTTTCCCAGTTATGTTTGATGTTGCACCATTGTGTGTCCTTTTTTCTTCTCAAAATGTTTACGTTTACGTTATGGAGATTAAGAGAGGTGCTTTTTTCCTATGACATTGGCAGCATTCACACCAGCCAACCTCCACACCTGAGGCCAAAGTGACCACAATCCACTCTGTCTCGCGTCATCGATGAGTGCCCCCCCCCCCCCCTGGCCGGACTCGACGGAGGTCTCAGGGTCCCACCCCCCCCGCCCCCTTGTTCACGGAGCCGGCTGTCGCCTGGCTGGGCAAGACGAGCGGAACGATAACGAATAATAATTGGTACCCCGCATTGCGTTATGGTATGCAATGGCAAGGCTATGATGCTGCGTAGTGTTTCCACAACTGTCAATTGGAACATTGCTGCAATGGGTGTGTGTGGAGTGGGGGGGGGGGGGGTCACAAGATCAAACAAGAGTGCAAAAATAACAACACAATTATCTCTTTGGAATACGCTGGAGTGCAAAAGCAGCAGCTGTGTCCCTTAGCAGTGTCATTGTCGGCGGTCGCCCTTCTCCACGACTGAGCAGGCTCGCGAGAAACGCGCAGCGTGACATTTGTACGGCCCGCGTCATCGGCCAACTGGAGCAGAAGAATAAGAAGCCGCGTGATTGCCTGAAGGAGATCTCGTTAGAAAAGTGTCGTGGTGGGGCCGCGTGCATCCGATCCAGTTTAACTCGGTGGGATGAAAAGCCGCAAACAGGCAAAAGAGGCTTTGAACATGGGCACTCCAAATATAAAAAAATACTCTCAATTCTTATTTTACCAGGTAAGGTCCACTGAGCTACATAGCACTTTTTCCAAAGCGACCTGGCTATCATAAAGATAGCTCAACGAAATGGCTTATGTGGAAATGCATAGATCGCAAAATATTCTAAATGCATGTTTATAAGTGTGGAGGGAAACTCCGAATGACCCGGAGAAAAATCCACTCAACCACGGGGAGGACATGCAAACTCCAAATATACAGCAGGCGTCAGGGTCAGGATCGAACCCATGAACCTCATTCATACCAGGCGAGGTAGGTAACATCTCGCCACCGTGGCACCCCAAATATATAACGTCGCAACCAGCCAGTGAGCATGCTTCGCTTGCACAAAGAGAGCAAAGTAAAACGGATGCTGTATGACATGTATATTTAAAAAAAAAAATAAGAAAATTCAGTCACTGCATGAGTTGTTAAAATCTTGGCCATAAATCCGTGTTCACATTTAGTCCAGTTAAATGCAAACGCTCATTTTGTCGTCGGTGGTATAATTTACATCACAATTGCATCAAACATTCCAAAACCAGAACTATGGAAGCTCATGGTGTCCCGATCAATAACCGCGGTAATGGATATTGATATCTTCAGAGCGAAGTGTTTTATGCGCTGATAGGCCTGAGTGACTATTGGTAATTGATAATGTTTTTAGAAGGTTTATATTTTTTTAGAAATACATTTGGCAAGGGGGGGGGGGACCCGTACACAAGAACATGTAAATCAACAAATGGTTCCACATTTCAGTAAACCTCGTTATTCCTTTAGGAATCTTGCATGGTGTTCCCTTGTGAGCTTCTCACCCTGGTATGTGTTCACTTATCCTGGCCGCACTTCCCCATTTACGTTTGCTGATGAGCTTCGAAATAGCCCCACGGCTCATCGCACAACAAGCATCCAGTCAGCACTTCCCCGTAGAGATTAGATTACGTCTTGGAATATGTGCAAGAGAGAACAAGTCGTTGCTTTCAGATCTTCCTAATAACAATAGTTGGATCACTTCGGGTTGAGGCTGCTTTAGCTGCGGGAGCGCAAGGAACATTAATAACAGACATAAAACATTTAATTTGTATGAAATAATCCCCCTTAATGGGGAACAGCATGCAATCGCACTTTGTGTTTGGTTCCAGGAAAATTTTCAGCAAGCTGTTATTGTTAAATGTCAACTTTCATTAAATGTAAAAAAAAAACCCCATCAATCCACATTATGGTTTACAATATTGGAAAAAAATAATAATACTAAAACCTCTATTGTATAGGTTTTTAAAACAATTTCTTTACCTGGCTTTATGTAACTATATATTTTTTTATAGAGTTCAGACACGGTGACCTTTTGTTAAGTGAGTTAGTTAATTCTTTTCATCCCCTGTGGGACGCGAGGCCGCAATAAGTTCCCTCCACCTCTTCCTGTCCTCAGCAACGTGTTCATCCTCGCCCCAAGAGCGGTTGATCACTGCCACCAGCTCGTCCTTCACGTCCTTGCACCACGTGGTCTTGGGCAGGGCCGTATTGTCCAACCGGCCACAGTAGGCACTCGTCTTGGCCCCCCCGCCCCCCCAGGTTTCCCTTTGCCCGGTGGTGTCCATCATAGGGGC